AATGGAAGATTGTTAGATGTAGGCTTTTTTATGGTAGTTAACCCTAATGGGCTTAGAAGCTCGGGCCCAATTGTGATTAACCTTAAACCTATTCTATAAATACCATCTGCAGCAATAAGAAAAGATTCTTGGTTGTCGATGTAGGTTGATAACCCTTATCGGCCGAACCACACAATTATTTGTGTTCAACTTTCTTGTTTGTGTGTGTGAGTTAATTCTAACACTCATCAGCGAGCTACCCACCGCTACATCCAGAGACATCTTTAATTCAAGAGCGATCCTATAGTAGAAAATCTGGAGCTCTATGAAATCAGGAATCTCATGGTGAAGACATTTACGAAGTAGCTACTTGAAGCGGCTCCAAGCTTTGGGCAAGGTCTCGTCAGCAACCATTTTGAGGTTGAGAATTTTGTTCCGTTGGTTGATAGTCTTAAAATACAGGATGATATTTCCTTAAGAAGGATTCCACTGCTTCCTTAAATGTGGAGGGTGGTGGACTAAGAGCGTCGAACCACTTCCTTGCTTCACTTGCTAGAAAGAAATGAAACAAAATTAGCTTGGCAACATCCTCTGATATGCCTTGCGCCTTTGATGTAGCGGCGATCCTGTTGAAGTTTTGTAGATGCTCGTACGGGCTTTCGTTGAGCATTCCATGAAACTGGTTTTGGCTAGCCAACATCAGCACCGGCTTCAGTTCATAATTGGTAGTTCCCCTAGGCGCCATACTCATAATTAAGGTCGCATCTAGCAGGGATTGATAATGAGAGTCCATAGGGACCTCAGCAGTTGGGCGATTAGCAGCCCTGTATCCCTGAAATTGCCTATGTTGAGGTTTAACAGTAGGTGAAGATGAGTGTGATTAGCGGGATTCGCAACGGCATGGGCGGCTTGGGCCACTTGAGTAGTGTCAACAATGCTTAAGCAACTTGGGCCTGCTCAACCTGAATGAGGTGCGCTTACAGTTCATCTATCCGTTGCTGGATACTCGCAAGCATCCTGACTATGTGCTTTTTAGTGGAAGTCAGGACATGGGGAACAAGAGTGTTTTATGGCACATCCTGTGAAGAAGCAGATATGATAGTATTGTTGGATGTCCCAGCACAGTAGAAACTGGGATAGTGGGAAAAAGGGCAGCAGAGTTTCCGTTGGTTGCCATCATCCTTTCTCGATTAATCTCACGAAACAGACGTCTTTGCGTGCGAGAAGATGGATTAGAACTGGTTTCGCGCTGAAATCGTCTAAGACCCTTGAATTAAAAATTTGCCACATCATACCAACGAGTTAGAACAAAAATAAATCCCCGGCAACGGTGTCAAATTATGATAAGCTATTTTGATGATTATGCTTTTATGAGCGATTAGCTTTTCTGCAATAATAGAGATTTTTGATGTGTTAAGAGAATCTTGAATCTTGGCATAGGCCAAATGATCGGATATAGAATTTTGATGAAAATGATGTTGCATACCTTAAAGTGTTATATCATAATTGATTTTATACTCTTTGACCGGTGTGTTTCCAAGTCAAAATGAAATTAAATCAAGAAATATTTATTGAGTCTGGCTGATTCGAAAAAAGCAGTAAAGCGAGCAAGCCAAAAACATTAAAATACATTAATTTAAATAAAGCGATAAAAGTGAGCAGACAGTGGTCATAAGCGGAGTGACGGTTACATATACGCGTACGATAGTGACACTGAGTAAATGAGCGATGATAATAACATTGATCAGAATGTATAGAGATGTTTGTGTGTGATCTATGCATTCCGAAATAGCTAGATTCTCATAGATGAAATAAGCGAATAGTGAAGGTGAAACGACGAGACATATATATATAATAAAAAATGACAGAAGTAATGAATGTGATCATACTTGTTCTTTTAAACCAGATTCTTGCCTCGCCTATACTTGACCTTAAGGATTTATAATAAGACTTCAATGACATTATAAGTAAGAAAAAATACTGTCATTAGATATTTCTGAGACCCTATAGACAAACGCCTATGTCCAATTAATCATTCCAAAATCTGTTTTATTAGGGGCTTTACCATTCTGGCCTCTCTTTGATCAAAATTGAATTAACAATAGTAATTAAGCAGCTCAACAAAGGTCCGCGTAATTTAACTACATTGAACTACCCAAAATCTGTTAATGAATACGACGCAAAATTCGACTTTGATAATAAAATTCAAACTTGAAATTTCAGATTTAAACAATCAAATACAAACTTGAAATTTGGAATGAATTTGAGGATGAAGAATCTTTATATTGGATTAACACTAGAAAATTGTAAATCCACATTACAAAAGCGATAACAAAGCAGTAAGTCAAAGTTGTAAATCTTAGAAAGCAACTAAAACTTGTGGTCAGGGAAGGAGAGAGGTAATTGCAGAAAGTCTATCACAGAGTGTATGATATATTATACAGATGAAATCTGACCCTATTTATTGAATTTCTGGAACGGCAGTTGACAGCAATTACAGAGAACAGTTGGGAACAGTTGAAGTGTTGTTGCAACCGTTGAACAGTTAGGCAGTTAGTTGGTTGATCGGTTGGGACTGCCATAACTCTCAGTTTGCTCGCTTGTTTGCGGGACTTCATTGTTTGGGCACAGATCTTCTTCGCTTGCCTTCCTAGACTAGACTTGGTTGAAGGGTATTGGCACAACTCAAGCGAAGCTATTGTCGTTGGCCGGTAATAATGGCTGACCGCTGAGAGATCCACACTTAATTATTTCTTGGAACTTGGATCATCGCTCGTCATCGTTGGATGTCTGGTTGGTTGACTGGCTCGGGCACGAGCGGAAAGAACATCGCTCGCCATGACTGGCTGCACCCTTACTTGTCTCATCATACTTAGGCATTTCTTTGCCAGAACGCCGCTTCAAAAGACTAAAAACATCAATAATCTTCACAAGTGGGCTTTGGATCATATCAAACAGAACATATCAATAAAGTATGCCATAAATCAGATATTGTGATTGTTCTCACATAAAACTTCAGGAAATACACAATTTTATCAAACAATAAATATGTTATTATTTGGATTCATCAAAAATCTTATACAACTTTTAGATGAAAACTTATCTCAATGAGGAGTATTTTAGATCAATGAATAAGGTGTGTGACCAAGATTGAGATCACTTAGACTTTTTCCAACGGTAATTCAATCGAAAGTCTTTATATTGACCGGGAGATGCAAAAACTTAGATGGGTGTGTGAACTATATACTGCTGAACCTTATCGAATCAGGATTTCAAAACAGCAAAGTAGCATACTTGGGATAACCTCTCAAAGCAGTACGTATAGAACTTAATTATTGGCTCATTAAGCAAGTAATTAGGATTTCAAAACAGCAAAGTAGCATGCTTCGGATAACCTCTCAAAGCAGTACGTGTAGAACTTAATTATTGGTTCATTAAGCTATATTTTCTTGACCTTGAAAGATGGTAGATTTCCCTGTCTGCAAGAAAGTGAAACATTCTGATATCTGCCTTGTTTTCAGTTTTTTTTTATTTGTTCTTTGGTTTGAAAACTTCAATATATTTGAAGGAGCCACATAATAAAAGATGCGCAACATTATAAAGTCTCTGCTGCCCTATACATGAATTCTAATATTGTTACATTTTGGGAATTTTCTAAGTGATAAAATAAGGGTTTATTTATAGGCATCATACAAAGTGATAAATCCAAATAATAACAACTTAATCTAATAGATATGACTAAATAATAACTATCAAATTTAAATAATATTGATTAAAATATTTATTTAAATGTCTGAACAGCCCTTCAAACTCAAGATGCTGCTGTAGAAGCCAACTTTTGTTTGACAAGAGAGAGCGGAGGCGGAATCTAAATTTGGACGGACTTCATAACTGAACATCAACTTTAGACCATTCAAATCAACCCTCTGTTGCAGTGGCCACCGGCGATACTTTGTCGCACCAAGTACATTAAAGCCTAATAAATTGGAATTTCAGCCAAATAGGATTTTGGTGGCAACAATCCCGTGTGTGGCGGCCACACTAAATCTTGATAAATTAGAGGTTTTTCCAAATTAAGGTGTCGGCGGTAGTGCTGGTGATCCTCTAGTATAGCGGCGGCGCCAAAGTAAAGTTTATGATGGCAACGATCCTCTGCTGTAGTGGTGGCACTGGCAATCTTGTTACTAAACCCTAAGAAATTAAGCCGTAATAAGCAAGAATTTTAAATAGATCATTGAAGACCAAACATAAAACTTGATAAAATAAAGATATAGGAAATTTAATTGGACATATAGGTTGTAAAGATTTTGATTATATTGTTTCCGAAAAATTTTAGCTATCAGATGGCGGACATGCTTCCACATCCGGAGTTGGCAACAACAAAAAACATTGACCAGACATTGACCAAATATTGATTACCGCTGGTAGTTTACATGCACAGCTTGTAAATATGATGTTTGGTGGTCAATGTCATTTCAGAGTCAAGAACACAGTGGCTGTGACGCTATAGAGTAGATGCATCAAAAAGTGACAAACAAATGCAATTAGAACGGATTATATATTTTTAAAGTGACAGTATTTGGTCTTTGTGAATCAGTGTCACTGAGTCCCAACTTAGTTATTCCTTCGTCATGATATTAAAAAAATTAGTGAATTTCAAATTTGAAAAGCAGTTCTCCGGGGCCATCTAAGGTTACAGGAATGTACCCGAAGAAAACGTAGTTTTGATATTATATTACATTTTGGAAGAAATTATGGGTTGTATATATTAAAATTAAGTCTTTTTACATGCATGATACAAAAGAATAAACTCAAATAATAACCTAATTCGGTAGATATGTCTAAATAATAACCATCAAATTTAAATAATATTAACAATAATATCTATCTAAAATATATCTCAACAAATAACTATCAAGCATAAACCCTAAACCCTGATGCTTTTCAAATTTCACTCCTTCAGTTTTTCATCATCTTATGAAACTAAGGGAAACTATATTCTTTCAATCCCTAAACTGCAGTGGTACAGGGAGCTGGTGGTATGCAAATGATTGATCCTCTGTATCAGCGCATACTTGTTAGAGAATGTAAAAGTCGAAGTATTCCGGTGATATTTGATGAAGTGTTTACAGGATTTTGGCGTCTTGGCAGCGAGGTTAGTTGGTCTCAGCATTTTCAGTAATGGTGGCTTGTTTCTTTCTTTTTGTGCAGTTAATTGATCTGATATTTGATTTAGTCTGCAGCTGAAATGATCCAATGTCAACCAGATATAGCCTGTTTTGCAAAACTGATGACTGGTGGCATAATACCATTGGCTGTTACCTTAGCATCAGAAGCTGTTTTCCAAGTATTTTCTGGAGATAGTAAGGTGATTTCTACATTCTTTTGAAGATGATGTAGACTCAGTTGCATAAAAATACAAGGTTGATGAAGTTTGAAATTTATATTCTCCAAGTCAATATGTTATGTTCTGCTCAATTACTAAATGGAAGGCAATTGTTACATTTTGGAAGAATTTCTCATTTGTGAGATGTTTATTAATAATGAAATCAGGACCTATTTTATAGGCATAGTACCAAAGGGATAAACTCTAATAATAACAACTAAATCTAGTAGATATGCCTGAATAAAAACTACAAAATCTAAATAATATTAACCAAAATATTTATCTAAAATATATTTCAATGGTAATTTACAATGTAAATAAACAAAGTGTAGTGAGAAGACAACTACATTCCATTTCCATAACTTTTTACTGTTTCCATCTCTTTTAATGTCTTTTTTAGTGAAAATGCGGTAAATGTAATCATTGGATTCTGTTCAAAATTATTTCTAACTTCAATATACCTCATAATTATATCTCACTAATTTCAAGCATTTATAATGTTTAAAATTTTGCCTGCATGTCAATCATAGCCCTATCACTGAATGTTTGAGTTAAGAAATCAGGAAAGAGGACTGAAAATCCATACCTGTAGTTTTCTTGTGTGTGCAAGTAGGCAAAAGTTAACGTTAGTACAATGGTTTGCGGTTCTTCCACTTTGAATTTAATCATGCCTACCGTATTCAGAGGCTTTTGTGTTGCATTTCTTATTGGAGCATCTTTCATCGTTAAAATTAGAATGATGAAGTATACTTGTAATTCCAGCTCAAGGCTCTTTTACATGGGCATTCATATACTGCACATCCCATGGGGTGCGCAGCAGCCGTGAAGGCTATCAAATGGTACAAGGACAGTAACACAAATATGAACTTGATATCTGAATCAAGATTGCTTCAGGAGGTACATACTTACACTCCATTCATTTATTTGTTTGGATCATGCACATAGTAATTTAGCCTTGAAGAGTTTTACTTTTCATAATTCCTTTGAATCTATATTAAAAATTTCTCAGTGTTGCGTGGTGCTATGTTCATTAAGTGCAATTCTAATTTATTTATTTATTTCCCATTTATTCCTGGTTCCGTAATTAATTAGTCATGTTGTGGAGGATTTTTCTCTTATCATCTCTACCGTAATAGTTTACTTCATTATTGTAATCCAGAACTCATAATCTGCACAATCGCTATATACTAAGTTTCTTTAATCCAACCATCTGTAGAAACCTATAGAAATATGGAGTTTGGCTACTACCTGAATGGGTTTATGGTTTACCTTTATATTACATGTCACTGAAAGTGGGCTCTGTGAGTGGGAGGGATAGTCTCTATAGTAGTAAAAATGGTATCGTACCATTACATAATCTAAGAGAATCTTTTGTTTGACCTTGTACTGAAAATTAATTGGAAACGATGCATTGGGAGAAGAAAGAAAAAACTGAACATGTTTTTTGGAATCTGTTTTCTTTTACATTAGCTCAACTGCCACGGAGTGCCCATGCGGTATTGATGATTGAATTCCCTGCATTTAGTCATGAAAAATTGCATCTCTAAAAACCTACATTTTCTTGTCTTGCAGCTGTGGGATCCTGAGCTTATGTTACAAATTTCCTTGCTTCCTGCAGTCCGTAGAGTCCTTGCACTGGGTACTCTCTGTGCCATTGAAATTCTGGAAGAAGGCAGTAATGCAGGGTAATAATTCCTTGATCTGTTCTCTTTTATTCGTTTGTTTTATCCAGGGTACCAAGTCCATATCTTTGCTTTTCCAAATGAGTTAAAGGGGATTATTTTGTTATGCTCTGGTGTGAAGTATTTTCTTAATGTATTGAAGAATAATATGACAAATTAAATGCTGGGTGAGATGCATAATGTGAATAATACTAAAGTTTCATTATCACACTATACAAGGAAACTCAATAAATATATATCATTCTAAGGTAGAGCATGTATGTCTAATAATATTTCTTTGGATCAGTTTACTCTAACTGCTTTGTGAATTGACTAGCCACTTGTTTCAAAAAGGGTGTAGTAACTATTTCTGCATGCTTAGGTTTTTTAATTTGAACTATATTGCTAGCTATATTCCTACCTGCTTGACTGTGGGAAAGCATGGGCATTGGATGATCGATCATATTCATTTCTGTGTGTAAATTCTTTTAAAAAAATTCTTCAGCCTAAGCATTGGAGTGGGTGTATGGACCATGTCTCAATCATTTACTTTAGCATTCTAAGGGCAATATCTGAATAAGTGGGTCATGACCTCTCCATGAACGTGATATCGCTAATAAGATGTTTGAACCTAATTGTCAACAAGACTTATCTTTGAGTGAGTGGGTGTATGGACCATGTCTCAATTAGCAACATCTAAAAAAGTGGGTCATGGCCTTTTGTAAAAACTAAATCCAATTGAATTGCAAAAAAGATGTTTGAACCTTATTTTAGAAAGATAAGTCAACCAGAGGCCTGTTATTTATGTGGTTCTTAAAATCTCTCCACCATAAAACTTGATGTCTTCTGATTGTGACCCTGGTAGACGTATTTCTTTGAATGCATATCTCACTGTTTGTATATGTAACCCTAGTGGCAATTTATTGCATTTTCCTATAGTTGAGATTGAGAAAGGGTTTGGGAGGCTGTTTTGGAATGTAACTGTGGTCCAATGCCCTAGACAACCGACCTCCGTACATACTGATGGTGCACGATATGCTACTGATCTGCTTAATGTGAAAACACCCTTCATCTGTTAGTGTTAATTAAAATATTCTGAAGCAAATGTTTTCAATACACAATGAATGCAGGTATGCTTCAATGTATGTGAGTTCTCTCCTAAAGAAGCTCCATGAAGATGGCCTGTATATGAGGCCACTTGGTAATGTCATTTATCTGATGTGTGGGCCATGCACTTCTCCGGACACCTGCCGCCATCTTCTGGAGAAAGTTCATGCCAGAATTCACGAGTTTGGACAACTGAAAAATAAGCCCGTCATCTGTGCAGCCTGAATTGAATATTGGTTGCGAAAATGGGCAAGATTCACAGGTAGATTGTCTCTTGGGTCAGGATTCTGTTCTGAGTTTGTTACAATTGCTTGACCTCCCTCCCAATGTATCCTATCATATCCTTGAATATGATAATTTTTCAATCTAACATTAGATTACATTATAGTGGTGTAAGATTTGTTGGTGTATTGTTTTCACTAGACTTGCTGCTGCTTCTATTGTTAGAAGGACTTTTTATTTGTATGTTTATGTTTTTGTTTATGTTTAGGAAGGAATAATTGTATGGCAGTTGAAAGATTATTGCAAACTTGCTTTCTTTGTTTGAACTTTGTATACAAAAACTTAGCGTGCAAAACCTGTGGCAGTCAGTGTTGTCACACATATATATTATTTATATATGTATTTATTTTTTTTCATGATAATGTACCTGAATTTTTTTTTATTTATTGCAACTAAATATTCCCTCCCTTCTCGCGAAAATAGTCCAAGCAGTTTAAAAAAAAATTGATTTATATAGTTAATTAATTTGATTAGTTAACGTAATATTTGTAATAAAATATTTATTTTAAGTATTTTTTATTTGATGTAATACTTAAATAAAAGTTAAAATATTTTGTTTATATTTTTTTAATATTTTATTTATTGAAAATTTTAAATTATCTTATTTTTTAAAATTGTTATATTGATTTATTGTAAATCAATATATGCAATTAGATAAATAAATAAATTTAAATAATTTAAATATCAATTAACAGCCATAATAATAAAATTTTTAATATAAATAATACATCAAATTCATCGAATTTTATTGTTGGTAAGGATAATTTTATATTACATACCAACATTTATAATTCATATTTTATATACCGTACCAAAATTTTCTATATATTATTCTACTGTATTGAGATATTGTACTAATAATTTGATCTACCGAATTCATAGATGAAAAATATTGAATTATCGAAATAGCGCATACAGTACAAAAAAATATATCGAAAATATCAAATTTCGGTATACCGAACTTTTTCGGTATAGTATCGATATATTTTTTAATATACAAAAAAAATCGGTACGGCATACAATATGGTCCGGTATTATTGGTATATTGTATCGAGTCATTTCTAATTGAATTGCATGTACGGTATCATAATATAATATTTTACCCTGAAATATCGAAATTAAAAATAAATTTATAATTTTAAGAATATATTAAAAATTAATTTTTCAGCGTTAGATATCGAATACTAAAATATCAAACTGTATATGGTATTTTCGGTATATAATACGAACAATGCTAAAAGTATATCCAATTACCATACTGAAAAAGTTTTGTAACGTATACTATATAAAAATTTATGATATAATAATTTTAATATTTTTCATACGGTATATATATTATTGAGTAAATTGATATTTTTCACCCTTACCTGTTGATAGAAATAAATGAATTTTATTTTATTTTTTATTTTTGTGAAATATAAAAATAAAATTCAAATTAGATCTAATTATTAAATAATTTTTAATTTTAAAATATTTATATTATATTAAAAAATAATTTAAAATTTTAAATATCACATAACACTTATTTATATCATATTAAATACTCCCTCCATCCACACACAAAGTAAACATTTATTTTTGACGCGGTATTTAAGAAATAACAGTATTTTATTTATAGTGAGTACTTAAAAGTAATAAAATGACATTTTTGTCCTTCCTTTTTGATGTAAAAGTAATGGTACGACGTAAAGTAAGGGTATTTGTGGAAAAAAGTGAGGTATTTAATAAAATATTTACTTCGTAATTAGACGTTTCAAAATAGAAATATATAGCTGGACAGACGGAGTATTTATTTTAATTTTTATTATTCAAAATTCTAATTGTACTTTAAAAATTACAATCAAACAAATAATAAAAGTTAAAGGTATTAATAATTTAATAAAATATAGTCAAATTTGTAATTGTAATTAATATTTACTAATTGCTACTAGAAAATATAATGTGACAAATTTCATGAGAGAAGAGTAATAGATAAGGGAAAATGATGTGACTTATCCATTTATATTAATAGTTGTGATTTACGATGATGCCAGTAAGTAGAAGTATAGCAGTGATAACTAATACTCTTTTTATCCTTTAACAATTTATTCATTTATTTATTTTGGTCCGTCCCATAATAAAATATTTTTTTTATTTTTTTTATAATTATACTATCTACTTAATATTACAAATATCTTTTTAATTTACAATATATTACACAAATGTCATTACATTTATATCATACAATACTAATATTTCCAAAATTCCGTGCAAAAAGCAAATAGATATATAGATATGAGACGGAGGGAGTATACCGTATCTTTGCCTATAAATAGCATGAAATGAGTAAAGTAATTTTTTTTGCATCCATAAAATTTTCTTCTCTAGTTAGAGAATTCGTTACAATTACCTTTTTCATTTCCTTCTTAGTTTTTATTATAACAAGATGTGTTACCTTTATTAAAAAATACATTTAACATCAATTTATTACCTTCATTAAGAACATATTGTCTCTATAAAAATAATAAATGAACAATTGTTTACTTAATTATAACTTAAAATTTAAATTTTAAATTTTTAAATTATCAATATTTATCTGTACAAATACACATTCAAATTTATTTCAAAAGATCACGACTCACATACGTATTTCAATAAAAAAAAAATTATACATCCAATTTTAACATTTAAAATTTTTAAACTTTTATATTCAATCTTTCTTCAACTAATTCTTTAACAAAACTATCGGAAAAAAAAAAATTATTCGAGCAATATATTAATCCGTATTTATTTCAATCATTCAGATCTTTAAATGTCATTAATTTTACAAATTTGAATAATTTGAATATTTCATAATATAAAAATTTATATAATATTATTATAGTTTATATAAATTAATATTTTAAAAATAAAATATAATATTACATAATAAATATTATTTATATATTATTAGATAATAAAAACATATAAAAATAAATAATTATGATGAATTTTATAAATTTGTAAAGGTAATAGGTAAAAGTAATGATACTATAATTGGTGTTCAAAGAAGTAATTTGAATAATGATGTGTATACTACATGAAAAGAGATATTTGAAAAAGGTAATGCAGCAGAGACACTTAATGCAACAGATGCTCTTATCTATCTTATCTCTCTCTGTTTAAAATATATAAAACCACACACGGTGGTTTATACAAATATTAAATATATATATATATTCATATATTACACTTTTTTATACATATATATTCATACTAGTAGGGAGTTGTGCTATGCAGGACATGTTTGTAAATTTTATTAAATTCTTAAAATTAATTGTTATTATTAAATATATTTTTTTAATATAAAATTTTTATGAATAAATTGAAAATTTTCAAACGATTAATTTTTAGTGTTTTAGATATTGGAAATTGATAAATTTTTATCAATCAAATATAGATATTACAAAAATAATATTTATATATAATATTAGTGATGTCTATTCATACTTTTATAAATAATTTTTCAAATTGTAATTTAATTGAAAATCGTCAAACACACGTCCTTCTGTCATCGATGTCGATAGACTTGTAGCCACGCTTTCATTTCACTTCAGATATATCATTGTATAATTACTTTATACATCAAGTTAAACAAAAAAATGTCAAAATCTTTTACACACTACCATTGACCAATAAATATTATTATTTTTTAATCTACTGAAAAAAAAAACACAAATGACCCCTTTTAGATTAAAATTGAAAGGATATAACATAATACTCCATATGTCCGTAAAAATTATGTTACAATTTCTTTTTTCGATATCAACTAAACTTATTTACAATCCATTTAATAAATAATTCCATAATTCTATAATTCTATTATTCTTATTTTAACAAAAAATAACAAAATTGTTATTATTATTTCATTACTTACTCTACTAATATTATCAAATCATTTTAATAAATATTTTATAATATCATCAATTTATTTTTACATACTTCACTTTAATATTAAAATATTATTATTTTTATGATCGGTTAAACTTATATATAATCTATTTATAATAAATAATTTTATGACATTTATTTTAACAAATAATAACCAATTTCACTATTTTTTACTTATTCCGCTACTTTGTTTACCATTTATTTTAATAAAATTTTCATAATATTCACACTTTACTTTTGAATACCTCATTTTATTATTAAAACATCATTATTTATTAATCTCAATGTCCAAGCAAACTTATATCATTTTATCGGACCAAAGAAGTATAATAGTATATAATTAATGATGGCCACATTTTTTTTAAAAAATTGAATTTTTTTTCCTTGAAGTGGACTTCAACACTTCCTCTTCATATTCATCTTAAAATTCTCATAATATTAAAGTGAAGTATAATAAATTTATTAGAACGAAAGAATAATTAGAAGTAGGATCTACATCAAACTATTTTTTTTTTTTTAAAAAAAAGTCACATAAAATAATTATTAAATGTGGACCTTACATCCAAAATTTATTATTATTATTATATAGTAGTATTAGATTATACCGCATCAAATGACATAGATTTTTTCTTATAACTTTTTCATTTTATTTGATACTTTTTTTTATTTGATAAGTTTATTAATTAAAAACATAATTAATAAATATAAATAACTTAATTCACTTCATAACATATAAAATTATATATATATATTTAACAAATATAATTAAATTAATTTAATAACTTAATAACATATACTATATTTTGTCATCTAAATTTATACTTGATTTTTTTTTTATGTCATTTAAGAATATCTTTTTGTACGTCACTTAAAAATATATTTTTTTTCGTACTCTCTTAAACTCATCTCAATGTATTATTTTTACTATTTTAGTTAATCTAACTCAAAATTATCCATTCTTTTATTATAGTAAAAAAAAATTAATATACAAATACAAAAAAACATCTAATGTATATATAAATATTTGTATCTTTTGTACATGTAAGGACAAAAATATGAAAATTATTTTATATATTTCACTCACTAATAAATATAATTATTGTTTAATTCACTAAAAAAACAAATAGAATTTTTTTTTCATTTTTTTTTATTTTGAAATAAATAAATTATATTATAATAATGGTTGAAGTCAATTTCAATATATAAATTCAACGGTTAAGTAATCTATAATAGTAATAATTATTACTAAGTGTAGACCCATATACATAATTTAATAATAATAATAATAATAATAATAATAATAATAATAATACTATTATATTATAGTAGTAGCATATTATACTTCATCATATTCAAA